TTCATCGAATCTTTACAAGGTAATTGATGTATGTATGTGTGTGTGTGTTTGTGTGTGAGCAAGAGAGAATGTAATCGCATGTCCTTAAAATGTCATGTGTATGCGCGCGTGTAGCAGTCAGCTGATCGTCGCGAGGGTCCCGCGTACCGCCTGCGTCCGACAGTAAGTTGCGCGCCCCTGTCTACCTTCCATACACGGCCCATAATTTGCTAACTATTTCTTGTTATAATTTGAAAACTAAGCTTCGGATAAAATTTTGGTAAAGGAAAAATCTTCTCAGAATTGAGTCAGGAATATGACATTTTAAGGACAAAAGTTTATTTTGGGACACCCTGTATATTTGTTGCGTGTATCAAGAATGGGCAGTGTACAACAACTCTTAATTATAACAAAAACTTTATTATAATAAGAATACACAGAGAGAAGTCTCACGTAAGGAAAATAAATCGCCATTAGTGAATGCATCGACACACGACGGAAGTACGCTGCCGTGTCGCAAAACGCTATTGGTCCGCGGTCCTATCGATTGCTTGTCGCCTATACGCTCGATAGATCGATGGCTTATGTTACGCGCACCATATTCAACAATATTAATATCTCGAAAATTATTGCGAAAATCGCAAAATGATAGAAGACTTTTTTGTTCAGTTTAGTCCACTCTACCTGCCCACGAGTGCTGTACCATTGAGTAGCGGACACTCTATATATACGCTTATATTTTATCTCTATTGCTATAATAGAAATAAAAAAATAAAAATAAAGATGACAATATTAATAAACAACATTTAGATGTGCTTTAACGCTTTTTCATGTTTAATCTAAGAGATTATATTACCTATTATATGTAATATGTTTGAAAAGGGAAAGAATACTCACCTGTAATAATATTTTGAAAATAATGATGTAGCGTTTGAATGGAACTTCCGTCCGGAAAATGTGATAATATTTCCGGTAATGCAGTCTGTAATGAATCGTTCTATTAGAAACAATTTTGATTTGTTGTATATTAAAATACAGAATATAAATTTATAAAAAAAGATTAATTTGTAATTTTTAATTTTTAAAAGATGTTAAAACAGTGGTAGTATTACAATTAGCAAAATCGTGATAAATTATATATGTATAATGTACAGCATTAAGTTGTGCTGGATCAGATCCGACGATTAGAAATATTATCGCAACACAGAGAGACTGAGTAATTGCCTTATCTGCACACAGTGTTCTTCCAATCGTAATGCTCGTTGATGATAAAGGGGCTATTTCATATATTTCATTGAAATCAAAAAATTCCTAATAAACAAATATAAACGGAAATATATAAATAAAAAATACATTTAAAAAATTACAATGAAGACTATAGAAGATATAATATCATCAAATAAATAACATACTGATTCAAAATAAGTATAGGTCCTTAAACATATGTATTCCTGACCATATTCTGAGACGATTTTTCCTTTAGCAAGAATTTGTGCGGAGCTTAGTTTTCAAGTTATAAAGAGAAATAGTTACAATATCACAGGGCGAATACGGAAGGTAGGCAGGGCCGGCGCGACTCACCGTTACACGCGGGTGATTACGTGAGGCGCTCGCTGTGATCAGCTGACGCACGCATGAATACATATTCGAACTCTCTTTATGTTACTCGCTCAGTCTGCCTTTCTGTTTGTTATTTGTCTGTGACTCTTTTTTTTATAAAATAATAAATAATAAATTGCTTCTGTGAGCCGCCGCAGTTATTGGTGAGTGAAATAATATAACAATAATACAATAAAGTAAAAGATGTATTTGATGAATAAGTTTACGTGTAAATCGCAAACGTTTCGACTCTGAGTTTTGCGAAATCTTTGCGATTTACATGTAAAATTATTCAACAAGTACATCTTTTGCTTTATTGTATAACTATTGTATTATCTCACACAATAACTATCGCGATAACGAAGGCAATTTAT